GACTGCAGCTGAGTACTTCTTCAACTCTGACTCCTTGCCGTCCTTAACCAAAATCTGTTAAAAGAAAAGGCTCGGCAATCCAAACCCAACCCAAGTAAATCCAAACCAAATTAAACCCGAGCCCAAATAAACCCAATTAAAACCCAACCCGAACCTGATTCCGAATTGTAAAAGTTGGGTTAGGATTGGGTTGACCTTCTAACCCGCCTGAGTTGCACTCCTAATCCTAACATATCTCTAATTAAAAAACTTTAAAAATAATAAAAACTTCCCACTTCCACATTCTCTATCACTCTCTTCCTCTCTCCTTCTATTTCAAAAACAAAAATAAAAATTTTCTCACACACTTTGCGTGTGCCAATATGCTAGTTATTAACAAAGAAATAAAAAGTAACTACAATTTAAAAATTAAAACAATAATAAAAATAATAAAAAAAGGAGAGGAATCAAACGTTGTCGTAGACAAAGGCAATGTGGTTGAAGAGCGTTTGGCGTTCGGTGAAGGATCGGACCGGACTGCGTATGAACCGAGAAATGGGTAGGCACGGATCGGCTGAGAATGGAAGATGTAACTGAAGCGAAGCCATGTTAGTTAGTGTCAGTTACTGAAACAACAACTGGGAGACACTCCTTCTGAGATCAGTGATCAGATAAGAGGGCCTAATTCATGAGAGTTGGAATTCGGTAAATTATGGGTTGTCAATTCTACAGTAAGCCTAATGTTAGTAAGCAATATCAGTCTGAGCCCAATAATGATGCATGGACTCAAATTAAAGGCGTAGGCTGACATGGGCTAACCAACCATAAACTACTTTGTTCTTCAAAATTTTATGACGTGTTTACTTACTTGAATGGGGAAGTTATGAATCAGATAACGGAAAAGGATAAAAAGCTATAGGATCAGCTGTCACATCCCGGCCTGGCCCCCCACCACATCCTGGACTCAACTCCACCGTAGCACGATATTGTACGCTTTAGGCCCCTACCACACCCTCACGGTTTTGTTTCTGGGTACTCACACGAGAACTTCCCAATGGGTCACCCATCTTGGGAATGCTCTCGCCCCTTTCTCGCTTAACTTCGGAGTTCCAATGGAACCCGAAGTCAGTGAGCTTCCAAAAGACCTCGTGCTAGGTAAAGACGGGAATGTACATATAAGGATCACTCCCCTGGGTGATGTGGGATCTAACAATCCACCCCCCTTAGGGGCCCGACGTCCTCGTCGGCACACCACGGCCAGGGTTCGGCTCTAATACCAAATTGTCACATCCCGGCCCAGGCCCCCACCACATCTCAAGCTCGACTCCACTGTATCATGATATTGTCCGCTTTGGGCCCCTACCACACCCTCACGGTTTTATTTTTGAGAACTCACACGAGAACTTCCTAGTGGATCACCCATCATGGGAATGCTCTCGGCCCTTTCTCGCTTAATTTCGGAGTTCCAATGGAACCCGAAGCCAGTGAGCTCCCAAAAGGCCTCGTGCTAGGTAGGCATGGGAATATACATATAAGGATCACTCTCCTAGGTGATGTGGGATATAACATCAGCCCCTTTTTAATTGACATATTTCCTGATTTTTCAAGTATACATTTTTTTTTTTAGTACATCGATATTTTTACACTAAGGGGGATGGGGAATTCGGCTAAGCCACACAATGAGCAGTCTAATTTGGTATCAAATTCGCTATCCACGAGATTCAAACTTAAGACCTCTTACTTGTAAGCGAAGAAGAATACCACCGCACCGTAATACTGAATGGCCTTTTCAAGTATACATTAACACAACAAATTACATGCTTGCTGAAAAGTAATGAATTGGAGAAGGAATACGTGTTCTAACTTTAAGCATTGGATTAAATTTGTATTCTTGTTTTAATTTCACAGCTGCTTCAGAGAAAAAGCAATTCGGAGCTCTGTTTGCCACTGTGAATAAGTCCCAACTTAATTTTTCATACGAAGTTCTCGAGAAGGCCACAAATTACTTTCATGATACCAACAAGCTTGGACAAGGAGGATCTGGCTCAGTGTATAAGGTAATTTCTCCCTTCGTTCTGCGCAGGTATCATATTTCATTATATGGAATTAACTTGGGAATTTCCTTTATTTTACACACAGGGAGTTCTGCCGGATGGAAATGTTATTGCCATAAAGAGGCTGTTCTTCAACACAAGGCAATGGGTGGATCATTTCTTCAACGAAGTTAATTTGATCAGCGGAATTCATCATAAAAATCTTTTAAAGCTGTTGGGGTGCAGCATTACAGGCCCCGAGAGCCTTCTTGTTTATGAGTATGTCCCAAATCAAAGCCTTCATGATTATTTTATTGGTAATTTTCTCTTCTCCATCCTATTTTCGATAAGACAATTTGGTTTTTCGCATCATCAGTTCATTTTCGCATTCTTACAGTTCATCCCTTTATGAATTCTCAGTGAAAAACAATGTGGAGCCACTGAGGTGGGATTTGAGGTATAAAATCATACTGGGAACAGCTGAGGGCTTGGCCTACCTTCACGAAGAATCGAAATTGAGGATCATTCATAGGGATATAAAACTGAGCAACATTCTGCTCGACAAGGAATTCAATGCAAAGATTGCTGATTTCGGACTTGCTAGAATGTTCCCTGAAGATAAAACTCACATAAGCACTGCCATTGCTGGCACACTGTAAGTTGCGCCTGCCTGTTTTCGTTTTTATTTTCTGCTCCAAAGACTTGTGTATCGTTTCTAACATAGAAGAATACTAAATTTTCTTGCTTAGAGGTTATATGGCTCCGGAGTATGCCGTTCTTGGCAAGTTGACCGAGAAGGCAGATGTTTACAGTTTTGGAGTTCTTGTCATCGAAATCATCTGTGGAAGGAGGAACAATTCTGTCTTTTCAAATTCGACTTCAATCCTGCAGATGGTAAACAAAATTGTTTCTCTTGCATATCTGCTAAATTTATATTTCGTGACCAAATTTTCACATCCACTTTCAGTAATCATAATTTAACCTTCTTTTATCTCATTTCATAAAGACTTGGGATCTTTATGGAACTTGTAGGTTACGTGAAGCTGTCGATCCACTCCTAGGAGGTAAGTTTGAAAATGAAGAAGCATCTCGGTTACTTCAAATAGGGTTACTTTGTGTGCAAGCTTCAGCAGAGCTGCGGCCGGCAATGTCATTAGTCGTAAAAATGCTTACCGAAAATCTTGAGATTCCTCAGCCAACACAACCCCCATTTCTCAATTCTGGTAGCGCAATATTCAACAGGAGAATTCCTTCAGGAAGTCTCAATTCACTGCCCGCGGAGTTTAACACGCAATCTTCGAAGAATAGCATGACCCAAAGCTGGATTGAGCCGAGATGAACATTTTGTATTTGTCATCATCCACAATGTAAATGTTGCGAGTTCGGTTGCTCTATGAGCTTAAGCAATCCCTACAGACTTGTGAATGTCAAATGATCCAACCCCGCAGCTCCTAGAGTCTAATTACAGTCAAAATTTGTGCAACTTCTATATGTTTTAGCAACATGGGTAAGTAGGACTGAATACCTTTTGTAAAATATATGTGGAGAATTATATTATTGATATGCAATCTTTTTATCTTGAAGCAGTACAATTGTCATACTGTCACGTCATCAGTTTTCTCGAAATAAATTTTTCGAGCTTTTGTTTGTATTAGGTAATTTTGGTGTACTTCTCGAATAAAATCAAAATCAGAGTTATCAATTTTTTCATAATAAACTTTTCGAGATTTTGTTTGTATTAGGGAGTTTTGGTGTACTTCTCGATTAAAATCAAAATCAGAGTTACGTAAGTGGAACTCTATTTCTTTATTTTAATGTAATATATATAATTGGTTGAATCAGCATTTTCAAATGTAGGTGAGAATTATACTGAAACAAGTAACCATACTAAAGTCAAAGTTAATACAAAAAATAATCCAAGATTAACAGCTAATCAAGGAATAATGACAATGCCAGCTCTTGGGGTGCACATGCAGATCAAGCTGCAGCTCCTACAATTTTCAAGCACCGCACTGAATCCATCGAATTTTATGGAATAAAATATGATATTATAATTTATCTGGAAAGCACAAAAACTAAATATAATTAGTCTGGCAATTTTTCTCTGCAAAGAGACTGGTTCATAAATTAATTAGATTTGTCTTCTGGGTTAATTTGGTGCGGTGTATACAAATATAATTAGTGATAATGTTGATTAAGATAAACATTCAAATTAAATGACAAATGGTGGGTTAATTTGAAACACCAAGTTGCTATATCTAATAATATATATATATATATATATATATATATATAGTATTAGATAGTTACAATATAACAACAGCAATAACATTAATAGTAGCAACAATTATTTATTATTATCAAAATTCTTCTCCACTTGTTTTTTTTATTTTTATTTCCGCGGGATATTAATTTGTGTGCATCTGTTAATTATTTGGAACGATGATTAAGACTAAATGTCATTGACTTATATTGCAGTGGGTGGTTTGTTTTCACGTTGAATATGTCATCAGTGCCAAAGAGCTCTAGAAAACAAGGCATCAATATGAACATCATCTTCCCATAACAAACTTGTGCTGAGCTAACAGCCTTTGTTGAATTTTGCTGGGGACGAAAAAAAAAAAAAAAAACTGTAATTGGCACTTTAACAATTAGATGTTAAATTTGTCACAAATATATATCATTATCGTCATGCATACGAGTCGTCAGTCAAATTTAATATTCTGTCAATTTTCTAAGCAATGACAAATATCACTAAACCAAAACGAGTTTGTAGTGTGTATGAAAACCTAGCAGCTATTTTACCAAGACAAAAAGAAAAAGCTTCAATTGTCAACTCTCACTTTATTTAACCATGAAAACTAATCCCAGATACATCACAAGAGATTATTATTATTAGGGTAAAACTGTTAAATGGAGACATTCATTTCTCACAACAGTCAAATGCACCAACTACGACCGGACATAGCTATCCCTCCTCCTATACACATACATGTATACACATTTGCGTGCGTGTGTGTGTGTGTGTGTATAGCTGTCGGGTTTTCGGTCCAACACGGCGTAGTTTCCACTTTCTCCTCCCTCAGTCTTCAGTCTTTTGATTTGAAAGTTTGAAGTTGAATAGCAAAGAGGAAACTTTTCCAGTACAGGCCTAGATCACTCTTGACTTCTCATCTGAACATATTCCAAATTCTTCGAGTTGGCATCTCTCTTTAGCTAGCTAATTCATTTCACAACAGCAGAAGCCAAAAGCCAAAAACCAGAAGCCAGAAGTCCTCGATTAAGCTTCTCACCTCACCTGCAGGAACTCATAGTTTCACTGATCCAACGCAAAAACAAAAGGTACGTGTACATATATATATTTATAGGTCTCGTGTTTAAGGAAAAAATCCAATTTTCATGCACTCAAAACTTTGCCTACAACTTCTTCATTCTTTTCTTCTCTCATGGATTGATTTCTGAACCAAATCCTGGTAAGAATTCCTTGACAGTTAAGTTATATACGTATTTCTATCTGCAATTCATACCCTTTATTTAGGATATAACTCGAAAAAATTCAATTGTACCTATTCCCGGTGACTGCAGCTAATATGGACGTAGGGAAAAATCCTTTATTTTTGCATCTATTAGCTGTTCAGTCTAGGTGCCCCTATTGATGACTGCCGATGCTCTCATGTTTCTCGAGCAAGCTGCTCTGAACGGATTGATAATATGTTATTGATAATATGTTAATATCATTGCCGCTGAATAAAAAATGTATCGACATGTTAATAGTATTAATCAATAAATTTTCTACAATACCAGTACAGTATTGATAGTAAGCTGGTGTTAAGCTAGCTGCCTAACATCTTGATTTGAGTACCGGAGACCAGTACAGAACGTCAGCAGTTTAGACGTTGACCGTTAGCTGTTGGTGGCAATTGGCAACGGCGGGCTGGCTGGAGGTCATGGGACCATGGTAGGTAGGGATTGGTGGGGTCTCATGTGCTTGGACATTTATGTGGGTTACAGGGAATCACACCTCCTCCCTCCCTCTATAATTCAATGCCGACCTTTTATCTCTGGAATCGTCTTTCATTCACATTCAATCCAAATTGCGGGGTTCAAAATGGGAATGCTTGTGGGGGCCCATGTGGGACCCACTTGTTGTTATGTTCCGTGCTCTCTTCACCTTATGCCCCTGTCTTTTGTGTAGATTTCATCCAAAAGCCAATTTTCAAGATAGCAACTTTTCTGGGAGGGGCTATACGGTCATGAGAAACTTACAAACACCATTTTATTGTTGACGGGATATCGCCATGACGTTATATTCGAGTCACCATGACGGTATATACGTATCATAAAAATTGTCATTCAATTTTAGAGTAAGAACTTACTTACATTCTAGGATTTCCTCCCTAATCGATCATAAAAGCAATGTGTCTTGTTTCATATCAATATCAATATTAAAGTGTCATGTGTATCGTTTCGAACATGACATTGTATTATCAGTTCGAGTTGTCCCAGTGGCATCTGAGGGCGTAGGTAAGTCTACCTCCAGTTTCAGGAGGCTGATCACAGAAACGTTTCTTGTTTAAATTATCTGTGATAATGTGAACACAAAGGAAGAAACTTGGGATTGCAAACTGCAAATCCTGCAACAAGTTTTGGGTACAAACCCAAATCCAAGACCTGCCCTTTTGACTTTAAGGACGGTGCCTAAATCTCAATGCAATTTATCCACTTCGAAACCAAGTTCGGTTTTAGTTTGTTTTTATCTTTTCTATTTCGTCCAGGTTGTATTGCTACTTTTGTGCCATCTGTCCTTCTGTAACTCCTAATTCCCCCATTTGCCAATTGACAGCAATCCTTATTTCTTCCACGACATTCCTTCATATAAATTTGGATGGAGGCAGCTGCAAATTAAATCAGAGTTCCAATTTCATCCCAAAAAAAAAAAAAAAATGAAGAAATGCAACGTTTCAGTTCTTTCCCAACATTTGCTTCCGCTGAAGATCCTGCTGTTACTAGGAATGGCTGTCGGAGATCCAAGAACGAAGACGGTCCAAATAATGTGCGGCAACCAACTTGAGCACAACACAACCGTGTTTGTTCCGAATTTTGTCAGCACGATGGAAAACATCAGTGAACAAATGCGAACTTCCGGCTTTGGAGTGGCAGTCACCGGTTCAGGCCCCGACACCAACTACGGCCTAGCTCAATGCTATGGAGACCTTTCTCTTCTGGAGTGTGTGCTATGCTACGCAGAGGCGCGTACAGTGCTTCCCCAATGTTTTCCTTACAATGGGGGTCGGATTTTTCTCGACGGTTGCTTCATGAGGTCCGAAAACTATAGCTTTTACGAGGAGTTTAGAGGATCGGAAGATAGGGTTGAGTGTGGGAACACAACGAGGAAGAGTTCGGCGTTTGGAGACTCGGCAAGGCAGGTTGTGAAGCGTGCGGTTGATTCTGCGCCAAGCAACCGAGGATATGCAAGGGGTGAGGTGAGTGTGAGTGGGACGGCAAACGAGTCAGCTTATGTGTTGGCTGATTGCTGGAGAACTTTGGATGAGAGCTCGTGCAGACAGTGTTTGGAAAATGCATCTGCATCAATGTTGGAATGCTTGCCTTGGTCCGAGGGGCGAGCGTTGTACACCGGGTGCTTCATGAGGTATTCAGACACAGATTTTCTCAACAAGGAAATGGGAAATGGAAGCTCCAGAGGTACATGAAATTTCTACCCCTTTTATTCAACATAGGTTCCCTTTAGTCACTTTAAGCGAGGGGAGGGTAGGGTGCTTCGGTGGTTCGAGACTGAGCCTGGTGTGTAGTTTTGCTCGCCTAATCTTCGGAACTTTGTTGCAGGTACTGCAATTGTCATAGTAGTTTCAGTTGTCAGCTCCTTGGTAGTTTTGGTAGTTGGAGTAGCCATTGGATTTTATATCTGGAAGCACAGATATATACAAAAGAAAAGAAGAGGTAAAAAGCTAGTAGAAATTCTGCAATGCTATCAGATTGTATTGCTTCAATGGTGAAATTAAAAGATCATAAGTAATGGACAAAATGGTATATTAAATGTAAGAGATTACCGGACTGCTAAAGAATTTCGGGGTTTTGCAGGATCATATGATGCAGAGAAGTGGGCGAAAACCCTAAACGACAGTAGCTTAAACTTCAAGTACTCAACAATTGAAAAGGCCACGGGGTCTTTTGACGTTGTCAACAAGCTTGGACAAGGAGGTTTCGGAACTGTTTATAAGGTAGTTTGTCTTAAATGTCTGATGCCTCTGTACTCGGAAACTAACCAGGGTTTCTCCTTGCAGGGAGTTCTGGCTGATGGCAGAGAGATTGCAGTGAAGAGGCTTTTCTTCAACAACAGACACAGAGCAGCAGATTTCTTCAATGAAATCAACATTATAAGCAGCGTGGAACACAAAAACTTGGTCAGGTTGTTGGGCTGCAGTTGCTCGGGACCTGAAAGCCTTCTCATCTATGAATACCTACCGAACAGGAGTCTAGATCGCTTCATCTTCGGTGATTACGTAGATTTATGCTAATTTACACAAATCTTAACTAGGTGGTATGTGCATGTTTCTTCATTTCTCTCAATGTTTTTGACAGATCAAGAAAGAGCTAAAACACTTAACTGGGAGAGGAGATATGAGATCATTGTTGGAACGGCAGAAGGTTTAGCCTACCTTCACGACAACTCGAAAACAAGGATCATTCACAGAGACATAAAAGCGAGCAATATACTTTTGGATTCAAGGCTTCGTGCTAAAATTGCAGATTTTGGTTTGGCCAGGTCTTTTGAGGAAGATAAGAGTCACATCAGCACAGCAATTGCAGGAACATTGTAAGCCTATTTATAGTAAATTCATTTTGTGTTATTTTAGCGAAGATAAATGAATAAGACTCCAAAAAAAGTTGAGCTTACCGTTGTTTCTAACCTACCTCAGGGGATACATGGCTCCAGAATACCTAGCTCATGGCCAGTTGACAGAAAAGGCAGATGTCTACAGCTTCGGAGTGCTTATATTGGAGATCATCACTGGAAGGCAGAACAACAGGAGCAAATCTGCAGAGTACTCAGATGGCATAGTTACAATTGTAAATTTCCCAATAAATTCTTCCTTTTCTTCCATTCATAAAACAATTTGATCTTTGAATTTGCAGTATACAGTAGATCCCCATTCTTACTTCGTTGTTCCTGTGTTTTTTGTCCAAACAGACCTGGAAGCACTTTCAAGCAGGGACCGTAGACGAACTGTACGACCCAAATTTAATGTTGCAGAATTGCCATGACAATGTTAAGGATGAGATATTCAGAGTGGTTCAGATAGGACTTCTATGCACCCAAGAGAGTTCCTCTTTACGACCAACAATGTCAAAGGCGCTGCAGATGCTAACAAAGAAGGAGCTGCACCTTCCTGCGCCCACCAATCCACCTTTTATAGATGAAAAGACCATGGAACTCAATGACCACGGCGACGACCAATGTTACCCTCTAAATGCAGATGGTGTTTCTTCAGTTGCGAGTGTTTCACATAGTTCTTTCTATCCAAGGTAATCACAACATGGTGAAAAGTGAAAACGAAGGGTTTCACAAATTCCAGGGCTTGCAACTAAGTTCTCCTATGAAGGAGCTGAGGAATCTCAGGCTGCTACTTGCCCCTGCTCTGCTCAGTCAGAGAATACGTCAAGTTTGAGTAACTGAGATGAAGTACAAATGGCATTCGACGATTTGTAGATATAGCGAGAATGGTAGAGCCAGAGTTCAAAAAAAAGAAAAAAAAATTTCTCAGTTTTCAAAGCCAGACAGTGAGCGATATTTTTGTTCTCATTTGTAGAAGTAAAATTGATCAGAAATGCTCTTAAAGATTGATATTCACAACTATGAAAGAATAATTGAAAAGAAATGTATGAGGCACAACATTTTTCTTATTTCCCGAAGGCACATACTTCGTGTTCACCAAGACACAATTTGAAACAGCATATACATGAATCAAACTATCGTGTGGCTACTAAGTTCCCCATGAGGCTTCTGCCAATCTCATAATATCTGGCATTGGAAAAACCTACGTCTAAAGCCAGGTTCTCCAACTCGTCCTCTGTGTTCACAAAAAGATTTTAAACAAGGAACTAGTAACCTATTATCCGCTTAACCACTCCACTTAACCACTTATTAAGGCCATGCCTAAAGGCCTCCAAACAGAACAATTCCCAAGATTTCATGAAATTTGAAGATACAACGTACAAACACATTAGTACAAAGAGAGCTTAAACAGATAGAAACATCGTGTGGTGCATATGCCATAAAAATAAGGAGTTAAAGCGAGGAAAATGCACCTGTCAGGAATGCCCTGACTGAACTCTTTAAATACTTGTAATCGTCCTCAAGTCCAAAACCAGAAGCCACCGGGACAACAAGATTGTCAATCATCAATTCCTAGCAAATGTTCCTGAAGCATTCAGCACTTATCTGCAACAATAAAAACATAACGGGAAATTGGTGTACGCGTTACAAGGCAAAAACTTACTGTATCTGGTTGAGTACCTGAACTGCAGACACAACTGGATTGGTGCTTTTATTGAAATCACGGATTGATACCCTCGAGCCTGTAATGCCAAGGAAAAATGAGAAAAAAGTAACCTACCCAGAACTACATCATCATCAATCGAAGGCAAGAGAATGGAACCTGCTTTCAAAACTCTAAACATTTCCTCCATGGCCTTATATTTGTCTACTACATTTCTTAGCCCATAACCGATAGTGATGGCATCAAAGTGACGGTCAGAAAACGGCAAATCAGTTGCATCACCTTCAACCCACCTAACAAGATGCAATGCATAACATGATCGATTATTCTCGGTAATGTAATGCTGGTATCTATTAAAGCGTTTCACGTAAAATAAAACATTTCTAAAATCCTGAGTTAGAGTTCAAACATTTTTAGTTGATTGACCACTAGATTTACCAGTGCTCACTCAATGTTCAAGTAGCAGGCTTTCGACTTCAACTTTTGCCGCGAGGAAGCAACTGACAACTGCTCTTTCAAGAAATCGAGACCAATCACCTGCCAATGCAGCCAAATTTTACTATCCCAATCACAAACATCAGCTCATATTCAAATTAAATTACCAATCTTTCAGCCAATTACAACAAAGAACAAACCTTGCCATTGGAGCCAACTTTCTCAGATAAGAGAAACGCTAAATCCCCACTTCCACTGCAAAAATCCAACACACTCTCTCCCATTTTTGCTCTGCAACCCAAAATTCAAAAACTTGAAATTCAGGGACCCAAATATATATATTCCACCAAAAAATAGAGCAAAAAAAATAGTTAATTTTAATGTTTACCCGCTCCACGAAACTGCCATTCTTTTCCATATTCGATGCTGACCCAAGCTCAATAAATCATTTAGCTAAAAATTGTATAAATATTAACAAAGAAAGAAAAAGTGACACTACAATTTAAGAAAAAAAGAGAGAGGAGATAATCGAACGTTATCATAGACGGGCAATGCGGTGGAGGTCCTGGAGGACCGGACCGGACTGCGTCTGAACCGAAAACTGGGTAGGCGCGGACCGGCTGAGAACGGAAGAGCGAAGCCATGACAGTTAGTGTCAGTTACTGAAACAACAACGGGGAGACGCTCGTTCTGAGATCGGTGATCGGATAAGAGGCCCCATTCATGAAAGTTGGAATCCGGCAAATTATGGGTCGTCGGTTCTAAAGTACGCCCAAAGTTGGTAAGCAATATCTGCCTAAGCCCAATAGTGATGCATGGACTCAAATTAGTGGTGTAGGCTCACATGGGCTCACCAATCATAAATCACTTTGTTATTCAAAATTTTATGACGTGTCTACTTACTTGAATGAGGAAGTCATGAATCAGGTAACGGAAAAAAGATAAAAGGTATGAGATTAATCCCCTTTTAATTGATCTGATACCTGATTTTTCAAGTATACATTAACACAACAAATTACATGTTTACTTGATATTCGGGAAGTCATGAATTGGAGAAGGAAAGAAGGAATTGACATGCCCAAAGTGTGAACTATTGGAATATGGATTGTTACGTGAAAGTTGAAACCCACACTTCTTTAATTTCTATGTGTTCATAAACGCTTAGAAAGTCAACAATCAAAATCACATGAGTACTCATTCTATATAAGTAAACATATTCCACTTGGTTTTTTCTGGTCAATAGAGTGAGTATTCGATCTCATAGCCTCTAACAATAATTGCAAGAGAAAAATGAATCAAATGAAAACGTAAATGGTTTTTATTCACTTTTCTTGGTTGATTATAGTTCGTATACCTTTTAGGGCCTACTTATTAGGGTTTTTTTCTTTTTGAATACAAGTTATATTTTGCACTGAACGATACTATGATATCAAAATCCGAGTTCGAGTGCAGAAGGATGAGAACGTTATTCTGGTAAACTTGGTTAAGCTCATATTTGCACTTATTAATACGAGTTTTGCGTTTTGAGCCCAGATCATTTGCAAGTGATATCAAGGGTATGTAAGCATTTCATTCATCATCAACCGTGGTCAAATTCCATAGAGTATACATTGAAGCAAATTACAATCAAATCCCCCTAATCATCTTGAAGATAGGGTAATTGACGAATGTCAGTAAGGTTTGCATTTTCCAGATCATGTACACATAAATTATCAGGAAAAGAAGCATAATTAAGCATTTGAGAGAATGTACATGCATGCACCTCATTCATTTGTAAAGAATGGTCCAGTAAGATTATCCATCACCTCAAACTGCATGTTCTCCGATGGTCTCCAGTGACGCTTACGCTGATTAATAAACCAGTTGTTAATTTGCCTTTGATCTAGCCCCGTCGATTCGGCCAGTGCAATCTTATCAGCCTCCTGAATGAGATTAGAGCAAAGGAAGAAAATAAACAACCACATTTTGATTGTCAAACATTGTTATTAGGTGAGTACGAGAAAAATACTGAGGTGTGACTGTAACGTCACATGGTGTTATAATACTAAATGTTATAACGTGAGAAGAGAGGTTTAGTACCGTTGGATAGGGCCATTTATAATGCGTACTCCACCAATCAAGTAACGTTTGCCTTGCTTCTTTCGGCAGCTTTCCTTTTTTCTTCTTCTTGGAGAATTCGAGCTTCAAGGTGCTGAGATGACTGCCAAACCTACGCATAAGCCGATCCTTGAGATCTCGATCTTCACCTCCTTGTTGAGCTTCCTGCACATCTATTCCGCCTCCGCTGAAATCCTCATCCGATGACATGCCACCACCTTCATCTGATCACCAACATTGTCCATCAGGTTATATGAATTAAACCATTAAATCCATTTCGATCGAGATAATAGGGTGCTATGTAATACCACTACACTAGTCAATGTTGTTTTCTCAGCAGAGGGTTGTACTAAAGTTACATCTTGGGGAAAACAAACTAGTAGATTTTACGAGGTAGACAATTGCAATGCATAAATAACAATGTGCAAATTAAACATACGTGATTTCTATGTTCTCATATCAAAATTTCCCGAATGGGATATAGATTTCAAATTTACGCTGAAGCACAAGCATTACGTATAGGTGACTATCTAAAAGTGTCATACTTAAATTTGTGACTACGGATTAAGACCAACTTCTAGAGCACGTGTATACTGTCACCGTCAATATCTAAAACCGCTTGTGAAATAAAAAAATTAAACCTAGCACAGTATGATCCACTTAATACAACAGTAGCAGTGTACCGCGACAAGAAAATCTTTCGCCAATTCATATCACCAATAAAATTAAAAAGTAAACAGAGAACGGAAGGACCCACACCATGAACCTTTTCTTTGTCCTAAAGATCCACACCATGAACTAGTTTTCAAAGGCACTACAGTACAGGGTGCCATTCTTTCTTTCACGGGGGGGGGCGGATAGTGGGCTGTTTTGGGTGCTTGAGAGTGCCCGCGTATTCTGGGTATTTTAGAATAAGGATCATCTCTGGATCTTCTTTGTGAGGATTTGAGAATCTTCTAATTACATCCGTTTATCATATATCATGCGATAAAAAATTTTTGTAATTTTTTTATTTAAAATTAAATATAAATAATATCCGACTAAAACTGACCGTACGATTTATAATGAACGGATTTGATTAGAGAATTCCCGAAATTCTCAAAAAACTGATCCGAAGAGGATCCTCATTTGGTATTTTAACCTTAGACCTCCATTAAAATGTATAAAAAATTAAAACATTCAAAATATCAGATACTTCAAAACACTTGAGAATTTTTGTGTCGATAATATTGTTTAGAAGTGGTATCCACACACATTTTTTGACTTCTCACATACTCTTTGTTAATTTTTATCTCTTCTTTTTTTTCTTTTTCTTTTTTAAATATCAATCTCCCTTGAAGAGAAAACATTGTTTTTTCTTCTTATTTTTTCACCCCCACCCACACACACACACCAGGTTTCGAACCTGGGACCTAGAACTACCCCACCCCTTACCCACACCCTCACGATCAATTTACCCTCTTAACGATCAAAAATTAAAAAATTGTGTAAAAAGTAAAATAGACCGTGGATATCACATTCTTTTTCCACATAGCTCGATTAAGACTTATACAGAAGGAGAAACAACAATGTCAGACTCAGAATGGACAAGACAGGCGGAGCCCTCAATCAAATCAGAACTGACACAAACCACACAAACGTGCATGTGTGAGTGGGTGGGCAGAGTCGGTGACCAAACAGAATGGTGAACTTCATGGCAAAACCCTAGAAGATGCCTAGTAAAATACTCCTTTGAACATTCATACGAGAAATTTTTAATTATGACAAAAATACAAGTAGTTCATTATGTGTATTAATAGAAGTGGTAAGAAATTTTATTTTTTAAATTATTAATTTTTTAACACACATATCTTATTATTTGTATAATAACAAGTAATGTATCACCATGTGTACCAGTAACACTGAAAAATCTCTCCATTCATACACCTCAATGTTTAGGTATCCAGTTGGTAAATGCCATGGAAACGATCACAGTTAATATCCACCGTGACATTTCGAATAACTAACACAACATTATGTGCAAGACTTTTTCCGCATGATCTTATATTCGTAACATAAAATGCTACGATATCTTGTATTAATAATTGGAGACGCCCCAGCTAGAAAGAATACTTTGCACCCAAGTCATTTCCATGCCCTTGGAAGTCAAAAGAAAAGGGATGTGATAGGGTTTGGTGCAGCGGAAAGAAGAGGATTGAATTTTCGGGGGCCCCCGATGCCACTCAAAAGTACATGTAGTGAGCAGACACGTGTGAAGCAATAATGAAACGCAAAGACCCACAGCGGGAAGAGATGTCCGTCCATGGAAATGACTAGCACTTAACACAAGTGGCAGTACTGGCCAGACCAAAGCGAGAGAGAGTTGAAAGACATAAAAGCTGCTCTCGGCGTAAACTGCGGGAGTCCACATGCGAATGTGTGGAGAAAACTTCGACCACCCCCTCGATCCGGGCTTTAAAATTCTCTTCCTTCCTTCTTCCATATGCAGTTGTAGCAGTACCAGTAATTTTTATTATCCAGTCGTCCATAATACCCCTCACCGTTTTTACCAGATGAACAAACAAAATATGGGGAATTTAAAGGTCTTCTGTTAGGTATAAAGAGACTAACCTATAATCCAAGTTACATTCAAGTTTCCAACGGGTAAGCTTGTATTCGACTGTAACTTACTTGGATGCGGCAGCATACAACACAACAACGAAGACAAAAGCACGTAAAAAAGAAAAGGCATAGCAAAAAAGCTCAAGTCTGTGACACACATTCTCTTCTCATGCTATGCTTGACGAAGAGACGATGACACAACGAGAATATGCTACTGGAAGTCCGGAACACCCGAGTTTGACTGCGTCACTCTCTCTTCTCACGTTATGTGTGAGGAAAGTTAGACACAACGAAAACACGAGAAAATGCAACGCCGACACCAGAATTATGCTCCTTGTATATAGTAACAACGTCACATGTTCGGCCAAAAACTATCTCAAGACTTCCAGTAATTAACCTTCTATTAGTGCTATGAATGAATATAGCACAATGACAAGCTTCGCTCTCATGCCATAGGCATCATGTAAGGCAACATAAATAAAGATACTAATTTATAGAATAAGAAATCAGCAATATTCTATGGCTACACACGTTACATGCAAAGTGCATGGTAAGATCAATACAGTTTACTTGCAAATAAGCTCAACACTTCAAATCAATGAAAAGTTGAAAACAGCACAAGTGTCTTCAACTAAACAAGTGAATCATCGATCTATCCTTGTAGAATATAATTGAAAGGGTAATGCTACAGAGACTATATTTATAGACAAAATTTTGTAAACTAAATGATATGGAAATTGATTGTTATGTTATTACTTAAGCGTTGATAAACATGCTCATTCCTATTAGTGACAAATCATTTAGTTTGTAAATTTTGTCTACAAATTTAATCTCCTTCACATTACCCTAGCTATTTGAAAATTTCAAAGTACATGATATATTGGTTCGAGTACTTACTCCATGGTGCATGCGAAAGTTTTGGGATTAAAAGATTAGTAGCTATAGACTTCAATCGATCAGAAACGGTTTGCGTACTAT